TCTGGACAGTTTCCTAGGGTGCTTTAGCGCTCTCCATCCCTGTGACGATTAGTATGGCCTCGGACATGCCGCCTCCTGTGCCCCTTGCCCCACCTCGTCATCCTCCTCGTTGTCCTCGTCGTCCCCCGGCCTCGCGCGGCATTTCTTACGAGACCACCGGGTGGGGATGGGGACGAGGCCTGAAGGGACGTGCGTGGTGTTGTCTCGGTGTTGGAGGGGAAGGACTTTGGGAGATGCGGGGGCTTGGGACTAGAGGTCTCACGACAACCGGTGGCGGAAAGACTTGATGGAGGGGATTTACAGTCGGAGCGAGCTCGCTGAGGACCGCTGCATGCCTTGCTATGCTTTGCCACGGAGATGTATGGGCTCGAATATGCCGTGTCTCCCCGGCTGACGCACGTGTTTCTGCGCGTTAGGAGGGTGAGACAGGGAGGGATGGAAGAGACGCCGGCGGGATCGATGCGTGCAGTCACCGCTTGTACGTCACGGTGTGGGAGCATTAGGAGTCAACAAAGGACATAAGAGGCCAGCGTGACCTAGAAACGTGAATCATACAAGGACTTTTTCTTTGTGCACATATGAAGTCTTTTACCCCCTTGTTGCTTCCACTCTCTGTACTCTGTACAACGGCAAAGTCTACAAGGCCTACTGTCTCTCCCCTTCTCCCTTTCCTGCCTTGTCCTGAACGTCCTCAGCAGTACCTTCCCGCTCATTTTTCTCAAACTTCTCCATGAGCTCCGGCGGGTGGAACTCGATGGGCACAAAGTCATACAGGAGGGCTCCCACACCGAGACACTCTTCCGTCGTGAGTAAATCCGTCCCAATCACCACGGCAGCGTCGCCAATCTGATGCGAAGAGTGGATGCGCCCAGGCAGGGTCGTGTAAATGTGACCCATCTCTGCCGCAACCTTGCTCTTTCGCCACGGTGTCTGCCGCTCCACATGCCGTCGGATGTCCGGCCTCGCCTGCATGAATCTCTCCCACATTCCTACTGTCACCCTGCTCGTGGGCTTGAGGCCTAGACGAGGCAAAACCTCTTCTTCCTGGAAAGACTCTACAAGAGGCGTGTAGGGTCGTGTTATGCCAAGATAAATAAGCACCCTGACAAGAGCTCAACGGGTGGACATGCACGCCCTCTAGCAATCCCCTCGATACACTTACCAATGGCGCGGCGGAGGTTGACGCTGTGTCTCAACCGCAATATCTCTAGATTCTTCGCCTTGAGATGACCAGCCGCGGTTTCAAGCTCTGCCTTCGTCGCCCGAGCCTCTGCCCAAAGCACGCGTGCTTCCGCCTGAGCCTTGACAACCTCCACTTCGTTCTCCGCCCGAGCCTTGACTACCTCCAACTCCTTCTCCGCCACCACTAACCGAGCCCTGTCCACAAGTGTCCTCCTATCCAGGCGCTTCCAAGACAGCGCTTCAAACAGATCTACTACACTCTGCGTCTAGTATGCGTGCGAGAGACAAGGAAAAGCAACGTCTCAGCAGCCACAAGTAGCAGGCAGGAGACTTCAATTGCATCTACTTCTACTCAACACTGCGGCAGCCTCTTCATCACTCCTTAGCCCCCCAATAGCCCGCAAGCCTTACACTTCCATCCTCACCTTCCCGGAAGCCTCAATGCTGCCATTTGTCCTACTGGCAACACTGCGGACGTGCGAACCCCGGGATCGGATCCAAGGACTCGGTCGCAGCGGAAGCAAGACCAGCCTGGCAGAAGCACCAGACGACGACAAGAATGATACAGAAATGACCATCGCACAAGCTGCACAATCGCCTGTCCTTGCTATGCACACCAGAGAGTCGGTGATGAAAGTTGCATCATGGGAGGGAAAAAACAATAGAACGTGCACGTGTACCGTGTGCATCATGGCTTTCCTTCCAAGCACCTCCCCGTCCACGCATTCTAGACGGGGAGCATGTGTCGAGCAAATCTAAACTACATCTATATGGTAATTGCCCTCACCGTTGCGTGAGAATTCGAGGAGAAAGTGTGGTACAGGCTACTCCAGCTTCTTGGGGGACAATGCTTGATGGATGGATCGATAGCTTGATCGGAGGTGGAATGAGGAACGTACCTCGCGTCGACCCTCACTGTCTGGTAGGATGCAAAAAGGGGTCCAAAAAGACCACAAATCCTCATTCATGCATCTATTCAGGTCGATGTGGAGAAACATGAATACAGACGTGAATGAAGACCTTGTGACCGTACTCGGCCAAGCCTAATGAATTGAACAAGAATAGAGGCAGTCTTTGGCGCGTCTTGAGCTCTGACGAGCCCTTGCTTTCTACTACAATTCTCGAGAAGCTTAGGCTGAAAAAGACGCCTCAGTGTGCTAGATCCCGGTCAGGTCTGTCTGCTGGCGGAGGAGCAAAGGAAGTGAATGCCGGAGTGGAACCACCTCGACGATGGAGGATAGAATACACCTCACAACCTGCACGTTCATCTTTGGCTACCTGTTGGGCCCCCTTAAAGCTACGGTTATCACAGGGTCACAGGGAAGAGCAGTAGCTCAGTCTTTCGATCGTGATGGAGGCCATAGCATCATGTAATCGTGTCCATCAGGCGCTTCACCACCCTCCCAACAGCTAGCATGCATACAGCCGAGGAGCAGTCTGGTTTGCAGGCTTTTTAATCTCCGTGTGGGCGAGAATGTAGCCGTTGATGTTCTCGACTTGCTTGTCGTTCTTGCCTTGAAGGCTTG